TGTAGATACAGAGAGGAGAGGGAGAGAGAAGTATTAATAACATGTAAAAGTGACAATATTCATGTGTCCATTTATAGTACATTTTGATGCTTCAGTATAATTTTACTACTTTTACTGTACAGCACTTTAATTTAGGAACACTTCATTTTAGTAATTTTCAATAAAATGAATTTGATGATTTTTAATTTGACAATTTTGTGTATATGTACATGTACTATGAACATGTACATTAATGATTGGTGGGTTTAATAATTAGGAGAATATTTCAATTACAGTTTATCAAATAAAGGTGGATTGACAATATTATATGCTAGTCCTCACGTTACATTGACACTGGTCAGTTAAATTTGATTCAATTCTAATATAAAGCATAAGTCAAAACGTCAAACCGCCCACACTTTTAATTAAAAATTGACAGTACACTGACCTAGTCTAATATTGTAAATGAGTCTTAAAACACTGTTCAATTAAAGCTATACTGTATTATCAGTCACTGTACCTATTTCTGGTGTTTTCTTGTCCTCCCTCCATGATCCAGTAACTGAATGAGGTGTATGTTCATCATCAGTCCTTACCATCAGTCCTCCATCTTTATACCTACTAACATTAACTGCTTCATCTCTCCATGATCTTGATACACCTCCTCCTAAACCACCCGCCATATTGGGAATTTGATATCATCATAAGAACACCATATAGCCGGTAATTTTGGAGGAAAATAATTTCGGGGAATTTAGCATTTTAATATAGTAGCCATTTGTCAAATTAAAACACGCCATTTTGTACCTTATGTACATGCTCAATGACACATGCATGGACACAAATTCCGACCACAAACTAATAAAATTTTAGCACAATTAATCAAAATTTCTTCCCTCCAAAATTACCTGCTATACAGTGAATAACAAAAAAATTAACAAAAATTATACTAATACTACTCAGTAATAATAAATTATTATACGTTAATATCCCAGCCCCAGTGTCTCACCTCCTCCTCCATTACTTGAGTCAGTTCCAGTTCCTCCATTAGTCTCCTCACTATCAGTATAGGCCAGTCCTAGTTTGGACATTAAAGTACTCAAATCATTAAAAGTACTTGAAGGCTCATCCTCCATACCAGGCATATGGACTACACGAGACTGGAGGGAGGAGACAGAGGCGTGGTCAACCACACCCACTAATTAATACAGTCTCACTTTAATTAATTCTATTATTAGTTTGTCAATCGTTGCTTTGTCTCCTCTTGTTAGTTCCTCCACCATATTATCAGTAACAGAGCAACCAATAGCTCGAGCTGATTCAACTACTAGTAGCATGTTCTCTTCTATGGCTTCAGTCTTTTCTGCAGTGCTTGCAGTAGGGGGCGGGGTCTTTGTTAGTGCCCTCAGGTCTACTGTATGTCTCACTGATTTGTTTATTAATTTACTAAACAAATAAATAAATATAAATAAAATAAATAAATATGTAATTTTATTATATAAAGTACATGTATCTTTGATTCTGATCAAGATGTTTCAAGTTACGGCCATTTTAAGAAAATGCCAAAATTCTGAAAAATACCCAAGGTATAGCCCATGGTTATTTTCAAAAAATGACTAAAAAATCACCTCAAATTTTTATTACATTTTTTGATACATATTGATGTACTTATGCTGTGTAGCAGGTTTGAGCTGATTTTAAAATCAATTTTTGAAGCTATGGCCATTTTAAGAAAATGCTAGTATTCTGAAAAATACCCAAGGCTATAGCCCATGGTTTTTTCCAAAAAATGGCTCCGAAATCACTCCAAAATTTTATTACATTTTCTGATACATATTGATGCCCTTATGCTGTGTAGCAAGTTTGAGCTGATTCCGACTTTAATTTTTCAAGTTACGGCCATTTTAAGAAAATGCCAAAATTCTGAAAAATACCCAAGGCTATAGCCCATGGTTTTTTTCCAAAAAATGGCTCCAAAATCACTCCAAATTTTTATTACATTTTCTGATACATATTGATGCCCTTATGCTGCGTAGCAAGTTTGAGCTGATTTCAACTTCAATTTTTCAAGTTACGGCCATTTTAAGAGAATGCCAAAATTCACAAAAATGGCTGTGAAATCCCTCCCTATTTTTATTATTCCATCAGTTGTGCTGATGTCCTTATGTACACAGGATAATGATAATAATGATAAACTGATGATTACCATAGATTAGATGGTTTGGTACAAAGTTGGTAAAGTTCCTGATCAGATGAAACAGGAGGACGTACCTCTAGAGAAGCATTTACATACATTCTAATTAATGCACGTTTATCTAAAACAAAAGCCCATTATTATCATTATCAATTAATTAATATTCATTACCTTTTGGTGCATTTGATTGGGTAGGTTGACCAGATGGTGATTGTTTTCCACGACTTGTCAATTTTTGAAAGTCGGCCAACGTCTTTGGACCTCCGCCCCCTCCAGTTCTATTAGTGGGTGTGGCTAATGACTTTGATTTTGTATCAGTGGGAGGGACAGAAGTGACGTCTGATTGGGTACGAGACTATTGATAATAACAAATAATAAATAATTTAATAATGTAAATCCATTATTTTTAATCTACATGTATTAATTATCACATAAGTGTCAACATAAACCAGATTATAAAATATTAAGCTACTGATGTACAAGGTACATGAACATGACATCACAGTAAATATGAATGTGCTATTGATATAATTTATTGCCTTATAAAACAGGTCTATACTTATCTAAATATAAGTTTTATTTATTTATTATTTTGTATTGGATCAAGATTCTCTCTTCTGCTTATCATCATTTTCATTTTATCAAGCACATTTTAAAGGACACAATATATTAGTGTGTAACTGTGTCTGTGTATCTATGTGGCATTTGAGTGTGTACAGACTAGCCTCTATATAATGGACACCGTGTCTCTGTTATACAGAGGTGTCCTTTATGTGGAGGTTATTTTATACAGTAAGGAATGTAATTGGTACACTAGGTGCTGTCCGTTAAATGGAGGTGTACGCTATAGAGAGTGTCCATTAAGAGAGACTACCGTAATTCTTCTAAAAATTCGCCATAGTCACTTAATTTTGATAAATAAATTTTGAAAACGAATAATTAGAGTAAACTAAGCCTTTATGGCCAACTAACAATTAATTATGACGAAATAGGAGCAAGAGTAGATCTACTCTTAATAGGAGGCACTAAGATGCATGTTTGGACAAGATATAAGTCTGTCGATGCTTCTTTGTTGCTTTGACTAATATAATCGGAATCTTGAACTTAGGCCTACTAATGGCAGTCATCTGTCCGGTGGAGTGCTGCTCGAGGCATCACTGTGAGTTAGACATGATTGTCAGCCTCTTCCAGCACAGGTCCATGTGTTATAATGCTGTCGAGTGTCGAAATTGGAGGGAGATGGCGAAATTAGAAGAACTGTTTAGAAGAATTATGGTATACTGTACATGTATCATGTAAGGTTAAGTGATTAGGTCCAGTGTTGGTTAGTGAGTGATTATAATATTCAAAGAATGATTAGCAGCTGCTACAGTTACTCACCAGTACATGTACATGATACCATATTTGGTATGTAATTACCACAACTATTAGGAAGAAGCCACACACAATAATAATAATAATGATCTCTAACATACCATGTAAATGTAGCTGGAAATTTTGGAGGGTATTAAATTTAATTGACAAATTGCTAAATTTTGGTGATTGATAAATTAATGGCTCAATATGACAGATTTTTATTTTGGCAAATAACTATCAAAACACCAAACACTCCCTCCTAAATTTCCTTCCATATGATATATGTATCTTAATATCCAGTATCTACATGTACATGTACTGCCTGTATTATGTCTTTATTAACTAACCCTTTACTGGTCATGTACTATACAGCAGCACACAATGGTTCAAGATACAATGTGTATCTAGTTGTTTCATTTTGACAAATGGCTATAAAAATGCCAAAAATTTGCTAAAATCTCCACTCCAAAATTACCAGCTATTATACCACGTAGTACATGTACAATGCACACGTACTCATGAATTTTGAAATTCTCATGCCATCAATCAGTATATTTAAAATAATAATTATTATTTAATCAATTATTATTAATACCTTCAGCTTAACTCCGAAGTCAGTAGAAGTGTTGGTTGTTCCTGATCTTGGTTTAGTGGGAGGAGGTTCAGTTTTACGTAACTGAACTCTATCAGATCCACGACCATCAGTACTATCAATACTAGCCTAAGAATAATAATAATAATAATAATAATAATAATAATAATAATAATAATAATAATAAATAATAATAATAAATAATAATAATAATAATAATAATAACAATTACTAAATTTACTATACATTTACAATAACATGTACATGTACATGGTAAGTTGTAGGTATGTGTTACTGTATGATGAACATTAACGAAACAAAATGAAGTACATGTACGTAACTGCAGTACATGCATAATACATGTACATGTACATTAGCTGCACATCAATCAATGTACATATACTGTACATGGTAATGAGTAGTTGTGCATATGATGTTGGTCTCTCACTTTCTTTTCCAATTCTTTAGCAGCTTCTTTGTCAACCATAACCCACGAGTCTTCCTTCTCCTTATAAGGAAAGTGCTAATATTATTTTTACATTTTAAAGAATTACTTTATTTGTTTGTTCACTTTTCACTTTATCCTCTTCCTCAGCTACTATGGCATCACCTCCTTCATTAGCTCTCTCTCTCTCCTTCTCCTCTTGTTCTTTTTTCTCTCTTTCTTCTCTCTCTCTTTGTTCCTTCTCTTCTCTCTCCTTTCTCTCTCTCTCTTCTTTTTCCTTTTTCTCTCTTTCTTCTCTCTCTCTCTGTTCCTTTTCTTGTCTCTCTCTTTCTTCTTGTTCCTTTCTCTCTCTTTCCTCTCTCTCCTTCTCTTGTCTCTCCTTTCTCTCTTTCTCCTTTCTCTCTCTCTCTTCTCTCTCCCTCTCCCTTTCCTGTCTACGTTTCTCTCTTCTCTCCTCCTCCTCCCTCAATTTCTCCTTTTCTTTCTCCTCTCTCTCCCTCTCTCTTCTCTCCTTCTCCCTCTCTCTTTCTTGCCTCTCCTTCTCCTTTCTCTCCTCCCTCTCCTTCTCCTCTCTCTCCCTTTTCTCCCTCTCTTCTCTCTCCCTTTTCTCCCTCTCTTCTCTCTCCCTCTCTCTCTCGGCAGGAGGTGTGGCACTAGTAGGAGGAGGGGTGGGGCTAGATACGCTCTGACTGGGAGAGGAGGAGCCAGTTGATGGTGGGTTTGGAGTCTTTGATGAAGTTGAAGGAACAAAGGATTGCTTTACTGTAGCTTTGGCATCAGTGGACGTGCGACCAGCAAACCTAATAAAATTAATAAACAAATAAACACATAAAGCACACACATGCAACAAAGAAAACATTCCAAAAGTAGATAATCCACAAATAATATTTATTAATAATTAAACAACAACAACCAGGAGTAATGCTATTATTAATGCTACAGTTGGTAAGAAGATACATGTACAATGTACATATATGTACATGCATGTGTGTGTGTACATCAAATCTTTAATGACAAAGTGAAATAGGATACATGTACATATAAGTACATTTACATGTACTAATGCACAATATATGTGTGCAAGTACATTATTAATACATGTACATGTACATACCTCTCCAAATATTCTCTCTCTTCATTCTATGTTGCTAATGGATACCTGTTATATTGTGAGGTTCCTCTGTTCCTCCCTCCTCCAACTTCAATACCTTTACTCTTCTTCAAGTCCCTCAGTGCCTTCCTAATGGCGGCCCTGTCCTCATAAGACTCTGCTGCCTTCAACTAGGGGTACATGTACAGGTAGGTAAGGTAAAGTATATAGACATGATTCAGTATCATTGTTTATTTAATAATAATAGAAATATATTTTATAACAATAATAACAAAAAATAGTTCTGTATTTCTTACTTTAGCATTGAGGGCTGCTTCGTCCAGTCCTTCTAAACCGTCCGCCATTGATTGATAACAAGAGATTAGGAGCGAGTACTAGAGCTACTGTAACTGTAGAAACACAACTTGTTGTCTTTGGCTCGCTGCTCGCTCCTTAGGGCCAGTAATAAAGAGTAATTGGACTAAATATCCAGTGAGTGATTTTAAGCCACAATACAACTGATGGGGTACCACGCCTCTCCTTTTACTCCCACGTGTCCTGATTGTGATTAGTAATAATTATCCTTGCACATTCACAAGTATAAACAAGCTCCGTGATGTGTACACGCTACACAGTACACTAATGTAGTATCTATGAATGTACAATACATCTCCAGATAACCAGTAGTTACCAGTACATCTAATGCACCATTATGTACAATACATATCAATACACATTATGGTCTGTAGTGTCCATTTGATTGTGTCTTTTGTGTCCTTTGGAGACACTACAGGTAGCAGGTGCAGTTAAGTGACGCCACTATATGGTATAATGCCACCTGCTCATTTTACTCAAACATTTACAGATAATATTTGTTATATTAATTTGATTATAATGCAACTAATAGTACATACAAACAAATGGTATTGTAATGATTAAATTATGCTGCAAAAGGTTATTATTTTGAAAATACACAATTTAAATTAACCAAACGATGTCTTTGTTACTACTGTATAGCAGGTTTTTTTCGTGAGGCTAAACTTTCGTTCTTTTTGTTCTTCAAGATGGGAGAACGAACAATTAACCAAACAAAATTCCAGTTTTAATGGGCGTGGTAGCTTATTAATGTCTTCAGAACGAATGTTTAACCTCACGAAAGTCATTTTGAGGATGGAAATCGAAAGTTTACCCTCACGAAACAAATCCACTATACGGTAGTGAAAAGTTCAATAGTGGTCAGTGTTCAACACCTTATAAGGTAGTAGTCTATTAATAGGTTGTATCTATTATTATTAGGTGATGAATCTCATTACATTAATGGTTGGAGGTTGTGGAATGTGGTTTATGTACTGATAGTAGATTATACTACACCACTAACAACATCACTCATGCAGTCACTTGTGTGTACGGCTTTATTCTACTTCCTTCTTGAATCATGTCAGTCACTTCCACAGTCATAGGAGATGAGGGAATACTTGAATATTTTATTGAGTTATTATTTATGTTGAGATGTACTACTTTCATGTGGCTAATTATGATAATGATTGTCATTTCTTTCCTAGTTTCTATATCCATTGCAATCATTAATAAAGGATTTAAAGGTACAGTAATATTATTATAGTGAATAAATTATGAGTTTTATTTTTATTTTTGTGCACTGTAGTTCCTTTACCATCACCAACAGAGGAAAAAGAGCAGCAACAATTTCCAATGGAAGGTTCACCAGAATACATTACAATGAAAGAGATGTTAGCTGATCTTGTTGATCTATTGGCAGGAAATGCTGCAGTTATTTTACAATTAAATAATCATCTCCTTTCTCTTACCATCATACCTTATGGTGTATACAGTGCTGTTGCTCACCTTAATCATACTCCAAATGAAAGAGCTACTCGACTCATCAATTCATTATTAACTATCATACAAACTCATTCTAATCCTAACAGAGTGTTCTCTTCTCTCATTACTGCACTGCAGAAAGTAGGACTGAATAACATGGCATCTAAACTAATGGAAAAATCAAGTATGCTAAAAAGTCTACATCATTTACCATATAGCCGGAAAGTTTCGTGGCAAAAAAACTTTTGTGATTTGGAGGTTCCTGGCCTATTCGTGGTTTTTATTTTAATAATTAAAATTATTCGTGGTTTTTAATTTCGTGGTGTCCTTCTAAACCACAAAAACCACGAAAGTTCTTGGCCACGAAACTTTCCGGCTATATGGTATTTTTACTTTTTGATTATAATTTACAGGAATGAAAGGTGGTCGTATTAATCTAGAGCAGGAACCATCAGTCAGTGAGGGACCACTTCAACCAGTGGGTGTCACTGCACAATCTCACACACCACAACCAACAATCACTGGATCACAATCATCTACTCCTACTACTGTCATTGAGCTCAGTTCAAAGAGTGAAGTTGCTACCAATATTGGAAATCTTCATTCTCATTTTGCATCTCTTGATTCTAATATAAGAGATGAGTTTGAGGAGCTGGTGGAAAAGGGTAAAGTGAAGCTTAAAGCTGTAGCTAGGAGTGCAGCAGCTTATTTAAGCATTCAAGTATCCGGTATAAAATATGGTGATGTTGATGAATTATTTGATTCTCTTCAGCCTCATTATGATTTCTTCAGTTGTGGTGTACTTAAACACTTGACAGACACTTACCTTTCAAATGCACTGCAAACTGAACTAACTCAATACATTGATAGCGTTGATAAATTCTCAAAATCATCACAATTGAAGCACATACGATCAGCAATCAAAGAGAAACTGTCATCATTACCAGCAGCAGCCTCACCAACCACTAGCAATCAAACAAAACCAGTCGTTATTAAACTGAATGACAGATGGGAAGAAATGACAATAAGTAAACTCAAGGCAGTCCTCAAGCATTACTTTGGAGTAACGTCAGATCTCTTCAGTCACATTAGCTTTGATTATGGTTCATTTGTCATTACACTGTTAATACCAGCCTCACTATCACAGTCTATTATTGATACAATCAATAACAAAACAAACTCAATGAGTAGATTAGGAATATTGGAAGTTGCTGTTGATGGTAGTACAATTCCTATTAGAAGAGAAGACAATAACAATTTCAACACTTTACTTCATGAATCAGTGGAAGCTGGTGATAGTTTTGAAGTATCAATGCTACTGCAGTTAGGAGCTGATCCAAACAGTAAAGATGAGAGAGGAAAGAGTGCAGTAGAGATAGCTAAGCAAGGAGGACACACTCAAATAAAAAAAATACTATTAACAACTGGAGGTGAGTTAAGTATTTGATTATTAACAATGCATATTGTACCATAATGTAATTGGGTCAATACCTAATGATATTTAGGAGTCCATTGGAGGGTGTGAAATACTGTGCATAGTATTCAAATTGATAATAATACACAAAAGCATTATTGTATTATAATCATTCACCAATTAATTGATTTTAGGGATGGCAGAATCTATTTACACAGCACGTATTGACTATCCTGGAATATATAGTGATGAGCTTTCATTCAGTAAGGGAGAGCAGCTGGAGATATATAGGAAGGATGGTAGTTTTAAGTGGAGTGGAAGATCCTTGGTGTCTGGTGATGAGGGGCGTATTCCTAGTAGTTGTGTTTACTCAATGTTTGAGTCACTTCAATTGTTAGAGTTTATACTGTCAGTGGAAGAAGTGTCCCTTCCTATTCTACAGAAGATAAGGAATGATTCATCTAGTAATGATGAGAAAGCTTCTCTTTTCTTGGAGACTATTAATGATGATCCTATTATGATATCTGCACTGAGACAAGACAAGGAACAACATGATAAAGGTAATATTTGTGATTATTGTGACAGTCAGTATAATTATTGATGAACATGTAATGTCATGTGTACATGCATACTTGTGTATGTAGCATGTACAATGTACATGTAATTTCATGCATTATATTCCTGTCCCTACATATGTACACATTACATGTGTGTATGTATGTACATATGTATTGTGTGTGTGTATTTGTTTATTGGTTGTAGTGACAACTAGCAAGTTATGTGTGTTTGTATGTACACATGATGTGAATATGTGTATTATTATACATGTATATAAGTATAATCCTTTGGTTTATATTAGGAATCACTGGGAGTGTGGACTGGTACAGTGACTGGGTATCCCTTTCCTCTCCATCTCCAGTTCAGTGTAATGAAGTGATTAGTAATATCAATAATAATCATAAGGTGATTAGCCTCAACTCCTCATCTACTAATAGTACAGTATCTCTACTATCATCAACTAAACTGCATACACTAAACCTGAGGAGACTTGAGATATGGAACTCTCCATTAACTAATGATTGTATCCAGTACTTGTGTATACTACTAACTAATAATAAAACAATACAAGGACTAGTCATCAGTGGCCGCTCCATTAGTGACAGAGGAGTTACTAATATCTGTCAAGCACTTGAACACAATTTTACACTTACCTCATTAAATCTTACTGATAATCCTCTGATCACTTCTACTAGTGGACAGGCTCTTTCTCACCTCCTCCTCAATAACTCATCACTAGTTGAACTTAAGCTAAGGGATACTTCATTGTCTACTGAGTCAATACTACTCATCCTCCAGTCACTAATGGATAATGAGAAGATAAGGACACTCAGGCTAGACGTGCGACACAAAGAGACTTGTATTAATACTTATTCTAATAACTATCACCTCATACAAGACAGAATAGACTGGTGGTAACTAATCACTTAGTGTTGTTTTGGTATGAACATTTGTTTTGGTTATAGTTTTAGTTATAGTTCGAATGGTCATATTTCTTTTAGTTTAGTATTAGTTTTAGTTTAATTCTTCAATCCTTTTTAGTTTTAGTTTTAGTTTTAGTTTGAAACTTCAATAATGTTTTAGTTCTAGTTTTAGTTTAGTTTCAGACTTTGATTTTCTTTTAGTTTTAGTTTAGTTTTAGTTTTTCCTTATTAAAATAAATTTAGTTTAGTTTTAGTATTTAAGAAAAGTTTTAGTTTTAGTAAAAATTTGAGTAAATATATCCCATAGCACTAACCATTTTCAAAAATTACAAGCACAATGTGGTAACCATGGGTAAACCAGGTGCATATAACATATGCATGCATGACTTGTAACTAACTAAAAGATATTTTGGTTTATAACATGTAATTGTATTAGTTTAGTTTTTTTTGAAAACATCATTGACTTTTAGTTATAGTTTTAGTTTAGTTCTTTTACTCTGTTTAACTTTTAGTTTTAGTTCTGGTTTTAGTTTAAACCTCCAATGACTTTTAGTTTTAGTTTTAGTTTTAGTTTACTAAAAGTAAAATGGCTTACTAAAAGTACTTTTAGTTTTAGTTATAGTAAACCAAAACAACACTATAATCACTCTTCAAATGAATTTGTGTATCTTCACCAAAAACAAGCGACCAATCAGAATACACTATACATAAAAGGCTGAGCTGTGTTTTTTATTAATTCCATTATTATTTTTGATATACATTATTTCATAATCTCATTCTAATCAATTAGCATGTGGTTCACTTCTGACAATTAACAAAACATTTTAACTGATTATTCTTGTACTCAACACAAATACATTAGTGCATATTATGCAGTATCTATTTTCAGTATTGTCATTCTAAAGATGCAGTACAACAGCAAAGGACACCAGAGCCTATGGGATGGTCAATAGAATATAATTATTACGATGAGAGATGTTAGCTGATCTTGTTGATCTGTTAACTGGAAATGCTGCAGTTATTTTACAATTAAATAATCATCTCTTTTCTCTTGCTGTCATACCTTATGATGTATACAATGCTGTTGCTCACCTTTATCTTACTCAAAATGAAAGAGCTACTAGACTCATTAATTCATTATTAACTATCATACAAACTCATTCTAACCTAACAGTGTGTTCTCTTCTCTCATTACTGCACTACAGAAAGTAGGACTGAATAACATGGCATCTAAACTAATGGAAACTTTAAGTAAGCTAAAAAAAGTCTACATCATTTCAGGAATGAAAGGTGGATATTAACAAGAGTGGATCCACTCTTGATATTAATCTAGAGCAGCAACCATCAGTCAGTGAGGGGCCACTTCAACCAGTGGATGTCACTGCACAATCTCACACACCACAACCAACAATCACTGGATCACAATCATCATTCTACTCCTACTACTGTCATTGAGCTCTGTTCAAAGGATGAAGTTGCTACCAATATTGGAAGTCTTCATTCTCATTTTGCATCACTTGATTCTAAACTGAGAGGAGAAATTGTGAAAAGAGTACAAAATGGAGAAGCAGAGCTCATAGCTATAGCTAGGAGTGCAGCTGCTTATTTAAAGGTCCCAGTATCCAGTTTGAAATATGGCAACGTTGATGAACTATTTGATTCTCTTCAGCCTCATTATGATTTCTTCAGTTGTGGTGTACTTAAACACTTGACAAACACTTACCTTTCAAATGCACAAACTGAACTAACTCAATACATTGATAGTGTTGATGAATTCTCAGAATCATCACAATTGAAGCACATACGATCAACAATCAAAGAGAAATTGTCATCATTACCAGCAGCAGCCTCACCAACCACTAGCGACCAAAAAAAACCAGTCGTTATTAAACTGAATGACAGATGGGAAGAAATGACTCTAACAAACTTTAAAAGAGTTCTTCAATACTACTTTGGCCATATTGTGACAGATATTTTCACTATAGTGGAGATTGATAAAGGCTCAGTCATTATTACACTGTTAATACCAACCTCACTATCACAGTCTCTTATTGATGCTATCAATAACAATAAAGAATCAATGAGTAGATTAGGAATATTGAAAGTTGCTGTTGACAAGGATGCAATTCCTATCAGAAGAGAAAATGATAATGATTTCAACACTTCACTTCATGAATCAGTTAAAGCTGGTGATAGTTTTGAAGTATCAATGCTACTGCAGTTAAGAGCTGATCCTAACAGTAAAGATGAGAGAGGAAAGAGTGCAGTAGAGATAGCTAATGAAGGAGGACACACTCAAATAAAAGAAATACTATTAACTGGTGGAAGTGAGCTAAGTATTAATTTTGACATTAATTATATGCAGGCTATTATAGTTTCTTGTCTACACAAAGTACACGCACATAGACACAGTTATAGTCATTATTTGTATTAAAATACACATTAACTGACTGACTGTGTTTATTATTAGGAGAAGAGACTGGAGAGGTGAAGTGGACCAGTGATAAAGTAATCCTCACTAAACCATCAGCAGGTCAATGTCAGGAAGTGATCAGTCAATTAACGGATAGTTATCATACCATTTACCTCCATCACTCATCACCTGATATTGTATACCTATTGATGTCTCAAGTACTGGATATAAGAACAATAAAGGGGATTGCTATATACAACACTAAAATAACAAAAGGCATCATCCTCTCACTGTCTCACACAATAACAATCAATAGTTCATTAAGTTCAATATTGTTCTGTCAAGATTCAATCAATGATGATGGAGTCATTGCACTTGCACAATCATTA